TGGGGGACTAGTAGATACATTGGAGGGCAGGGCTAGGATTCAGAGACCTAGACAAATAGGAGGACTGAACCAAAATTGTCTCATGAGGTTCAACAATGACAAGTGCAAAGTCCTGCACTTGAGATGGAACAATCCCATGCACCGGTACAGGCTGGGGACCAATTGGCTGAGGAACAGCTCTGCAGAAAAGGAACTTGGGGCTACTGTAGGGACAATAAGCTGAATATGAACCAACAGTGTGCCCTTGTTGCAAAGAAGGCTAGTGGCATACTGGACTGCATTGGTAGTATTGCCACCAGGTCAAAGGAAGTGATTATTCCTCTCTATTCAGCACTGGTGAGGCCACATCTGCAGTACTGTGTCCAGTTTTGGACACTCCACTTCAAAAGGATGCAGACAAACTGGAGAGGGTCCAGCAGAGGTCAACAAAAATGGTTAGGGGGCTGGGGCATACGATGCATGAGAAGACGCTGAGGGAACTGGGCTTATTTAGTCTGTAGAAGAGACTGAGAGGGGACTTAATAAGAGTCTTCAACTATCTGAAGAGTGGTAATAAAGAGGATGGAACTAGATGACATAACAAGGAGCAGTGGTCTCAAGTTGCAGCAAGGGGAGTTTAGGTTAGATATTAAGAAAACCTCTCTCACCAGGAGGGTGGTAAAACACTGGAACAGGTTACCCAAAGATGTTGTGGAATCTCCATCCTTGGAGGTTTTTAAGACAGGGTTAGACAAAACCTTGGCTGGGATGATCTAACTGGGGATGGCCTTGCTTTGAGCAAGGGGTTGAACTAGACCTCCTGAGGTCCCTTGTAGCCCTATTTTTCTATAATTTTAAGACCCTGTTCATTATTTGCAGTTTAAAAAATTATTTGCTCCACCTCAACAAGTTTAAGGTTTAAAACATATGAGGGTACGAACCTATTTCCAATTAAAAGTTCTGCCACATTTGCCAGCCGGTAGACCAGCGTTTCTGGCAATCCATTGTTTTTATCCACCCCCAACCAGGTTTATTTTTAGTTCAGCAGTAGGGGGATCCAGCCATTCTTTTACTGAACCAAACTTTATGAACAATGATACCCAACACCCCACTTCTTCCAAAAGCTGGAAGAAAAAAAGCTTCTTCCAAAAGCTGGAAGATTGAAAAAAGCCTTCGATCTGGTGTCCCATGATCGCTTCTTGGAGAAACTGGCCAATTGTCGCCTTGGGTCCTCCACGATCTGCTGGCTGGAAAATTGGCTCCGGGGTCGGACCCAGAGGGTAGTAATTGATGGAAGTCACTCGTCGTGGTGTCCTGTGACCATTGGGGTCCCCCAAGGCTCTGTCCTTGGACCCATACTGTTCAACATCTTCATTAATGATGTGGACACTGGAGTCAGAAGCGGACTGGCCAAGTTCGCCGATGACACCAAAGTTTGGGGCAAAGCATCAACACCAGAAGACAGGCAGGCGATCCAGGCTGACCTGGACAGGCTCAGCAAGTGGGCGGA